TGCCATTTGTGGGTTCCCAAAGGCTGCCTGTCTGTCCCTACCTGCAGCGGGCTCACTGCCATTCCTTCTCTTCCATATGCTGGGGACAGGGAATGACGGTCTGGGCTGCTGCACAGATCCCGGACATGCATTCTGGTGGTGTGGATGGAAAGACCATCTGGGAAACTGCTTGCCTAGCCTGTTGAGGGGGGCTTTTGGACAGGAGTGGGACCTTTGCAGTCTCACTGTGGGTGAAGCCAGGACCCACAGTGGTGGACTGAGGGTGGTGGGAAGGCTCCCTGGGTGTCCCCAGGAGCAGGGGGGCTGTGCCTGCCCAGGTGACCCCATGTGCTGTGCCTCTGCCCTGCAGTATGGGCGCTGCATCCGTGCAGCACTGCGCCAGGAGAAGGGGCTCTCCGCCATCGCCGACCTCCTGAGCCACGACAGCGAGCGCGTGGTGAAAGCTGCAGCCGGAGCCCTGCGCAACCTGGCTGTGGACCTGCGCAACAAGGAGCTGATAGGTGAGGGCTGCACGGGGTGGGACATGGGCTCCATCCATCCGGGTCATGCAGGGACATCCTGAGCTGAGGGGGTGTGTGAGCATGGCATCAGTCCAGTGTCTGTCTGCTGCTGCTCTCCCAGAGCACCATGTGCTGAGAGGGACATCAGAACTGGTCGCTGGTCCTTCTGCAGTGATTTTTCTCTTGCAGACCTCTTCCTCACTTGCTCATGCCCAGCTCTTTTCCCTCCCCAGGTAAACATGCCATCCCCAACCTAGTGAAGAACCTGCCTGGAGGCCAGCAGACCCCAGCCAAAAACCTCTCTGAGGATGCAGTGGTATCAATCCTCAACACCATCAATGAAGTAATTGTAGACAACCTTGAGGCTGCCAAGAAGCTGCGGGAAACTCAGGGGATCGAGAAGTTGGTGCTGATCAACAAATCTGGGTAGGCTCTGCTCGAAGGGCAGTGCAAGGGGCAGAGAAGGGCTTCTCCAGCAGCTTCCTCCCAGCCATGGGTATCTCCAAACATCTCTTCCTTCGCCCCTTTCTAGGAACCGCTCCGAGCGAGAGGTCCGAGCGGCCGCCCTCGTCTTGCAGACAGTGTGGGGATACAAAGAGCTGCGGAAGCCCCTCGAGAAGGAAGGCTGGAAGAAGTCAGATTTCCAGGTACGGAGATGCCCTGCTGTGGCTAGGGTAGGAGATGGGGTCCTGCAGCAGGGAGGAGAGTGTTCCGGGAGCTCAGTAATAGTGGATTTCAGCTCTTACCTTGCTGATGGGATTGACACCCTTGGAGGTGTCCCCTTTGCCACTCCTCAGCGGGTGGCTGCAGGAAGTCTCTGCCAAGGAAGAACCACTCTGTAGAGCTTTAAGCCGTGTGTCGCACCCAAGCTGCAGATCTGCAGGCAGGGGAGCTTGCAGGACTGCAGGCCAGTGGCAGTGCTGAAGAGCAAGGTTCTTCAGGGCTCGGTTTCTTTCCCAAAGGCTGGGGCTGTCCTTGTTTGCTGAGGGCTGGGTCCTGCCCCAGCCCAGCCAGCCACCTCCACTCAGGCGTGGATGCAGCCCTGGGCTCTGCAGCACCCTCTGGTTGCTTCAGCCCTTGCTCAAGGGCTGTGGTAGGGTTCCTGGGCCCGTCCTGGTGCTGGGGGCTGGAGGGGTGGGATGTGTGGATCAGGAAGGAATGTCTGGGCCAAGGTGTGAGTGGTCACTGTCTGATGCTCCAGGTGAACCTGAGCAACGCCTCTCGGACCCAGGGAGGTAACTCCTTTGATGACAGCACCTTGCCTCTCATTGACAGGAACCAAAAAACAGGTACGTGCCTTCCCTGCAGTGCCTGTCCCCGCTGTCACCATTCCACTTGGGGGTACACAGAAGAGTGGGCCTTCATCCCCTCCCTGCTATTCAGCCCTGACTTTCTTGGCAGCCACAGCTGCTCACACAAGGCCATCAATTTGGGCTTTAGATGGCTTCTCAGGGCTAGAAAGGACCTATGTTCATGTGGATCCTGTAGCGTCCTTAGGTCAACAGTGCTGCAGTTGCAGCTGGGTCTGGGGTCTTGTAGCTGGGGTAGGCAGCAGTTCCTCTGCTGCTTGTGGCTGTGTCTGATCTGCTCTCCCATGCTTGTAGACAAGAAATCTTCCCGGGAGGAGATCCAGATGAGCAGCATGGGACCAGGTAGGACTGGGACTGGAATGGTGGGAGCATCTTGCTTCCTTGGTATGCTGGGAGGGGGCAGAGATCACGTCTCCTGTGGGGATGATGCTGCCTCCCGTGGAGGTGACATGACTGACTGTCCCCTTTCCTGCTCCAGACAACTATTCCACACTCAATGAGCGGGACCACAGCAGGACACTGGAAAGATCTGGTGAACTTGGAGACACGGAGCCGGTGAAGGCAGCGCCCTTGATGGTGAGCAGCTCCTCCTGACTGGGGATGTGAGTGGGGCTGGGGGCAGGAGATGACCAATCACTGTCCTGGCTGGCAGGAGGAGGTTAGAACTGGGCTCCCCCAACTAACACCCCCCTGCTCCATCGGCCCCACTAACCCGGTGTGTCTGCAGCAGGAGGAGGGGCAGGAACCGCAGCCTGAGGGAGAGGAGGTGCAGGAGGATGCTCCCGTGCTCTCCCCCGTGTCGGTATGTCCCATGGTGTCCTGCCCAATCTGAGCAGGAGTGACACGTCCCTCTGCTGTGCTCTTGGGGTGCTTTGGCCAGCCCAGTCCTGCTCTGATCTCTGATCTCTGCAATCACCATCAGGCCATGATCACACCTCGGCTGCTCCCGTGCTCCCCAGGCATGCTGACATCTTTCCCTTTCTCTCCACAGCAGAAGATCTAGCTGTGACCTCCCCGCCTCCACTCAGTTTGGGTTGATAATATATTATATATATAAATATATATATATATAACTTTGTGGTGGAATGGACCGACTTTGACCTTGTCTTATTCCTGGAGTTTCTGCTGGACTGTTGGTGCCAATTCGCCAGCCAAACGCCTGGGCCCAGGGGCAGCCTGGACTCTGCCTCCCCTGGGCCACTGCACCTCCCGTTCTGGGACGCCTCGACCCATAACTCTTCCTCCCCGTCCTCCACCACCTCCTTCCTCCAGCGTGAATCCCTCCTGCCCGACTCTGCCGGATCAACCGGCGTGGATGCTGCAAACAAACTCCGGATCTCTGCCTTGACCAGGAACTGCCTTCTCTCCCACACCTTCCCTCTGCTCAGATGTCTGCAGGGATGGAGACTGGACCTCACGTGCCACCACCTTTTTGTTTTGGTTTTGTTGCCTATAGGTTATATTTTTGTGCAGGGTCACTCTTCAGCCGGGGCTGTGGGGACAACGGGAGCATCCCTCCCTGGTGGCGGTGGGACCAGGGTGAAGGGAGGCTGTGAGGGGAAGGAAAAACAGCAATAACTTCTTGCTTTGCTCTAAATAAGGCTTTGGGGGCATGGGAATGAGGACCTGGCTCTGGTTCCTGCGGAGGGGTCTGCATGGGGCTGCTAGCCCCCACTGTGTGAGGAGGGATCCTTACATGGGGAAGATGGTCAGTGCGAGGGGCTTGGGATGAGCCTCCCTGCACGGGAGGTGGTGGGTCCCTGTGGAAGGAGATGTGGTGGGCTCCTGCGGGGAGGCAGCTTCTTGGGTGTCCTGTGTGCCCGGGGTGAGGAGCAGGCGCTGGCAGGGCTGCCACTGCCCTGCCTCCTCGTGACATGTGCCTTTCTTTTGCCACTGTGAAATAGCTCTTGGAATCGTACTGTTGGCTTCGCTGGGGACGGGTGGCTGGGCTCCTGGCAGAGCTGAGCTCTTCTCTTCCCCGCTAGGAGCCTCCACTGGCTGCAGTGGGGCTGGAAGCCCATTTGGGGGGATCCCAGCCCCACTGTCCTCACTGAGGGGATGCAGGTCTCTTGTCTCCATCCTCTTTCAGGAGGCTGGGCTGCCACAGGGACTGGGGTGAACGCATCCTCCTCTCTCTGTGGTGGTGGTGGCTCATTCAGTGCTGCGATCCTCGGGGAGCCCTCGGGCTTCCTGCACAACTGGAAGCCGCTGCAGGAGGCTGCAACTGGAGCAGGAGCCCCCGGAGGAGCCCCTGGGGCCCTGCTCCTGCCTGCGCCTCCAGCCCCACCAGCTCCCGCCCTGGTGCCCGGCTCCAGCCCTCCCTCAGCTCATTCGGTTCGTTCTGGGGTTTAACTCTTCCTTTAACGATGTAAAACACTAATTCCTTTTTTTAATGTTTAATTCCAAATGAACCAAAAAGCTCCCCCCGCGCGGGGGGTGGCGGGGCCGGGGCTGCCCCTCCCCCCTGCGCACACTCTTGTAACGCTTTTCCAACGAGATGATTTTTTATATAAATAAAGTTTTTAAAGTGTGTCGGTGCCGCCCTCGGCCAGTCCAGCCCCGGGGGTCCCTGGGTGATGCTGCTTGGACAAACCCTTCCCAGGACTGGAGAGGCCCCTGCTCTTCCTGGCAGGAGATGGGAGTTAAACCTGTGCTGTGTTCGCGGTGGTGGCTGCCCCTCCCCCCCAGTGCTGGGGGCAGCCTCCAGTAGCCGGGCTCAGGGCACCTGCAGAGCAGGGCTGGGCTGTGGATGTGCTCATCCCTCCCCAGGGAGCCTGGAGTCAGGCTCAACCACCACGTTCCCACTGGGGTTTCTCCCCTGTGCGTGCACGTGGGAACAAACACAAATCCTGTACCTCTCTGGGTTTGTGTTTTTGGAGCAGTTTTGTGGCTCCTGCTTCCGGCCAGGTTTGCTATGAAGCCATGTTGCTGTTGGGCAGGTTTTTGGTGGGGCACAGGGCAGCTCTTTAGAGCAGGACTGGGCCCCGTGTGGTGCCACTTCCCTGTGCTGTGCAGTGCAGCCGGAGCTGGAGCTGCGCCCCAGGCAGGCTGGGGTTACGTGCCACCTGGGTGCAGGGACCCCAGTGCACCTGCAGGCAGGGGAGTGTTGATGGGTGCATGTGACTGGGGGGGCTCCAGCCCTCCCACCTTGCTCTGTGCCCTTGTCCCTAAAGCCACCAGTGAGCAGAGCAAAGGCAAAGCCAAGTGTTTTATTGTTTCAGGTCAAGGGGGCAGAGCCTACGACGTCTGGCTGGGCAGGGACAATGTCAGGAATGTCTTGGAGGGGGGGATGACAAGAAATGATGCTTGGGATGTCTGGCTTGGCAAAGATGAGGCCAGGGACTTTGGCTCAGCAGGACCCAAGCAGGGGGCTGATGGCTGGAACAAGCAAATCACATTTGTGGCAGCAGGGACCATGCGAGGGACGTCCAGGAGGAGCGGCTGTGCGCTGGGGCTCAGAGGAAGAGCTGCTTGTGGCAGGCCTGGCAGTACATCTTCCTGCCGCGCTCGCGGACGGTGCCCTTGTGCAGCGGGCACAGGCAATAGGTGCAGGTGAAGTGCTCGGGGTGGTACTTGTGCCCCACAGCTGTGATGCAGCGGCCAGTGACAGGGCGGCCGCAGCCGTGGCAGATGCTGCCCTGGCGCTGGTGGAAGTGCTGCTTGCAGTAGGGCCGACCCTCCAGCTCGAAGAAGGAGCCGCTGCTGAAGCCGCTCAGGCAGTCCTGCGGGAACGGGATGGGGACAGCTGGCATGGCCGTGGGGACACGCTTGCCCTGGTGGCCTCCCCCAGCCCTCCCCACACTCACCGTGCACACGAAGCACGTGGGGTGCCAGACCCCGCTCAGGGCTGACAGGTAACTGCCTGTCACTGGGCGCTCGCAACCCTGGCACTTGGGGGCAAACAGGGCCAGGAAGTCCTGGTGGCAGTATGGCCTCCCATCCCGCACCTGGAAACCTGCCAGGGGTACGGGGGGTCACTGCCGTGGGGGTGCTCAGGGTAGGAGGCAAGGGAAAGGCTGGGGAGGAGGTCGGATGGGGCCGGGGTTACCCAGAGCGGGGCAGAATCCCCCAGCCTGTCCCCTGGGATGTACCGTCATCGCCAAACACCTTCCCGCAGTTGGTGCAGAAGAAGTGCTCGGGGTGCCAGGTCTGGTCCAGCGCCGTGAGGACCTTCTGCAGGAGGAGGCAGGGTGAGGCAGGGGGCCGGGCGTTTGGGGGAGGGGGGCTGGAGGAGTCTCACCTCGCGGATGGGGCCAGCACAGTAGGCGCAGCAGGGTGCGAAGGCCTGGTGATAGTCATCCTCGCAATAGGGCTGCCCATCCCGCTCGAAGAAGGGCCGGGAACTGAGTTCCTGTCCGCAGCGGATGCAAGTGAAGTGCTCGGGGTGCCAGGTCCTGCCCAGCGCTGTCAGCACCTGTGGGGAGGTGGGAGGCACTGAAAGTAGCTCCAGGGACCCCATGAGCTGTGGGGAGATGGATGGAGATGCAGCAGGGATGGTGGCACAGGATGAATGGAGGCAATGGATGGATGGAAGCACAGAGTAGACGGAGGCAATGGATGGATGGAAGCACAGAGTAGACAGAGGCAATGGACGGATGGAAGCACAGAGCAGACAGAGGCGATGGATGGATGGAGGCGCAAGATGGACGGAGGTAATGGATGGATAGAGGCAATGGATAGCTGGAGGCACAAAGTGGTGGAGGTGATGGATGGAGGCACAGGGTGGATGGAGGCAATGGATGGAAGCAATGGATGGAGAAGGCACATGATGAATGGAGGCAATGGATGGATGGAGGTGGAGGGTGGATGAAGGTGATGGATAGATGGAGGCAATGGATGGAGAAGGCGATGGATGCATGGAGGTGCTGGATGGAGGTGGAAGGTGGATGGAGGTCAGGGTCTCACCTTGCCAGCGATGGGCTTGTGACAGGTGGTGCAGACACTGGTGGGGGTGGCCGTGATGCCCAGCTCCTGCAGGTCCTGGGTGAGGCTGCCCAGCATGCTGTCCAGAGAGGGCTTGGGCTTGGTCTCCTCTGGCTCCTGGGCTCCCTGCCCCTCTGCTGCAAACTGCTAGGCAGGAGGATGGCGAGAGCTGCTTAAAGGTCAGTAACCAGCCCCTTTACCCCAGGGCTGGGGCTCACCTTGCTCTGCATGTGGCCCAGGTCAGCCAGGAGCTTGTCCAGCTGCTGAGCGGCTGCCGTGGGTGGGAACAGCGGCTGCGGGACTGGAACAGGGCTGCTGGGCACAGAGTGAGTGGTGCTGCAGCTTCCACCCCACAGATGGAGGCGGCAGGGGCTGAGAACCGTGCACAGGGGATCTCTCTGGGGACATGCGGCAGGGAGGAGGAGGCTGCTGGAAGCCCAGCCCTTGCCCCAGCAGTGCTGCAGGTGTGCGGGATGCATCCCCCGCCCCAGTTCGTGGAAGGAATTGTTTTGGGGGCACACGCGGGTGCCCCTGTGGGAGGCATCCAAGTGATGGAAAGGGAAACTGCAGAGGCTTTGCCTTTCCAAGGCCTGTTTTACCTGTACACTGTGTCCACAGCCTCGGCAGGAGGCTGAGCCCGAGGCGACTGCACCTGGAAGGACAAACCCTTGGAGCCTGCAGGATGCTCCCGGCAGCACCACCCGTGTCACGAGCTGAGCGGGGCCTCAGTCACCAGCCCCAGCTCGAAGCGTTACCTCCAGGCGTGCCGGTGCCTGCCGCCCATGGGCCTCGCGAGAGCTTTGCTCCAGCTCCTCCAGCAGCGCATCTGCATGTGGAGAGCAGGGTCAGCACCGGCTGCTGCTGCCCCCTGCATGCTCTGATACCTCAGAGCAAAAGCAGCATCGCAGCAGCTTCTGCCAGCGCTGGGGCTCGAGGGGCTGTGGGGACCCTGAGCACCCTTAACCGGGCCCCCCTTCCCAATGGGAGCCGTTGGCAGCAGGGTCCCGCTTCCCCACGCCCCCCGCGCACCATCTCTGTCTTACAACGAAACGTCCCCGCCCTTAGCTTCACCCCAGCACAAGCCCCACATGGGAGAGCCCAACCTCAGCGCTTCCTGCGTGCCGCAGCGCTGCTTCCCGTGGGGAGGGCGAAGCACTTGCTCTGTCTGCTTTTACCTCGCTGCTGTCCCTCAGCATCCCACTGCCCTCACACAGGGACACGGGGGTGATGCCCCCACTGTGGGGCTGCTTCCCTGCCCGCATCTCCCCAGGGATGGTTCCCAGCACCCCAGACACTGTGCTGCGCCCTGGTGCTGCCCCGCTGCGGTGCAGCCAGGCTCGCGGTGCTGCCACAGCCAATTTCCTGCCTTCAAGTGCTCTCCATTGCTGGCCAAGCACTTGCTTGGTCGCTTGGGCCCTGTCTATCCCCTGGGAAGGGGGGCAGAGTGGGAAGGGCAGCTCCGTTGCTGCCCCTTTGGCAGTATCCCCACTTCACCCTGAGGCAGCGGAAGGACAAATCTGCCCCCGAGCTGCCGAAGGCACAGCCCCTCACCACGTGATGCGCTGGCTCCGGTGGGACCTGGCTTACCCAAATCCTCCATCCTGTCCCAGTGGGGGTCAGTGCCGGGAGCTGGCTCCAGGGCTGCGTGGGGCTTCAGTTCCACTCACCGTCTCCCCACCTGCTGGGCTGGAGTTTGCCGTCAGGGTTCTTCCGCTGTGGGTTGCGTGCTCTGCACCACGTGTGACCACGGCAGAGGCTGGGGCAGGGGGAACTGAGGGCACTGGAAAGAGGAAACCAGGCAGCAGGCTGTCCAGGGGGCTCCTGACCCATACAAGCACCCAAGCTTCTTGGACTTCTCAGCTGGAAGCCAGAGTGTGTGTTCCACAGAGCCAGGCCCTTCCTAGAAGCCTCCAGCCACGTGTGATGAGGGACATCCCTGCACCAGGTGGAAATGCCTTTGTGAGGGTGTGATGGAGGCAGACACAGGACCTGCAGTGCCAGTGTTTCCAACACAGCCTTGTCTTTTGGGAGGATTTGTTTGGAGCTTCATCTTGGATTCGGCATGAGATGCTGTTAAGGTCCTTCCCAACCCAACACATTGCATGGCTCTGCAGTTTCCTGGTCATTGCAGATCTCTGTGTGTCACCTGGAGCCAGCGAGGCCTCGGCTCCCTGCAGCGCTGTGGGCAGAGGGGCACTGCGACAGCAGCTCTATGCTCCCTGCGTTCATGCTTTGGGCCATGTATGTTCCCTGGCGGCACCACGCTGTGGGCACAGCCCTGCCCAGCACTGCGGGCACCAGGACACGCTGCTCAGCACGTCCCCACAGCCAGAAGCAGCTGGAGCCACCATCTCTGCTGTTGCATTGAGGCATTCACCCACCACTGGGACTCCTCTCTCCTCCCAAGCCAGAGGCTGCAGGCGCAGGGCTCTGCCAAGGAGCAAAGGGACACGGCACTGCACCAGCTACTAAGAAGGAGGACTGCTACAGCTGAACCCAGAACACCCACGCAGCCGTTCCAGGCAATGAACCCATGAGCACCTCCCATATGAGGCCAAGCTGAGAACACTGGGGCTGTTCAGCCTGGAGGGGAGAAGCTTCGTGGAGACCTCAGAGCAGCTTCCAGTGTCTGAAGGGGGCCACAAGGATGCTGGAGAGGGACTCTTCATCAGGGACTGGAGTGACAGGACAAGGGGTGATGGGTTCAAAGTGAAACAGGGGAAGTTCAGGTTAGATCTAAGGCAGAAGCTCTTCCCTGTGAGGGTGCTGAGGCGCTGGCACAGGGTGCCCAGAGAAGCTGTGGCTGCCCCATCCCTGGCAGTGTTCAAGGGCAGGTTGGACACAGGGGCTTGGAGCAAGCTGCTCCAGTGGAAGGGGTCCCTGCCTGTGGCAGGGGCTGGAGCTGGAGGAGCTTTAAGGTCCCTTCCAGCCCAAACCAGGCTGGGATTCTGAATGTGTGTCTTGAGGCAGGAGTAACGCTGGTACATCTCTGCTGGTTTTGAACAGAATGCAGGTTCAGATGCAGTCTGCCTGCCTCCAAGATGCAGGCAGAGGTCCCCACAGGTCTGTTGATATTCAGGACCATTTGGGAAGGCAGCCTCACAGGTCCTGTCATTACCCATTGTCCCTGGTGCCCCCAGCAATGCCCAGCAACGCTGAGGATGAGCCAATGATATTTAGGATTTGCGTTTTCAGCTCACCACTAACCTGTGTGCATGGCTAAGGAATGAACACGTGCTGCACAGGCCAAGCTGGCATGGCTATAGGATGAACACGTGCTGCACAGGTCAAGCTGCCATGGGCTTGGCTGCCCCTTCTCACACTCTGCTGACCCGCCTTTCCCCATCAGGGTGTAACAAGGTTGAATTAAGCCCCTTTGTACAGAGTTGGACACCGAGGTTCACTCCGTTACTGACACTCCATGAATGGTGACAGCTCTTTTGTGATCTGCTTGCAGTGGGGACACCCAGCAGGGACTGCCTCAGGAAGACCACACGGGATGCTGAGCTGAGCCCCACAATGTGTTTCAGGACAAGCCCCAGAGACCTACCCCAAAGCCACGCTGAGGCACTGCTCGGGTCACTCCTTATGGCTGCTGCTGGGACAGGGTCACTGCATCAGGTGCTCCCCTTTCTGCAAACAGCAGAACCTCCCTGTGGAAAGCTTCAGGCTGGTTTTAGACTTGTCAGTGATTTCCGATCCCCGCCGGTGATGGGTGAGCCCCAGGTGGGCCCCGGTGGAAACAACCGTCTGGAACCATAACTTTGTATTCTAAGATTTCCCATTGTAAGGCACAAGCCGCTGAGCCTGCTCGGGGCTGTGCTTCTGTGCACTGCTTTAGCTGGTGCACTTCAACAAGCGACTGCATGCCTTGCCTACAAAGGTGAAATCAACCACGGCAGAGACTTAACAGCAACTGCCCCAGCAAGACTAGTTTGAAACAAAATTGATTTTATTTCAGAATAAATGCAAAGCCATTTCATACCAGAAAGTATGGCTGAACTGTAGCAGAAGTTAGCTGGGAAAGTGATGCCAGTCTGTCTTCCAGCTAGACAAGTCCTCAGGGAGAGAAAGAATGTTTTCCACCACTTCCAATAGAAGCAGCAGATGTTACTTAAATTTGTGCTGAGATTTTCTTCTTGAGAAGAGAGAGGAGAGGAATGGTTCAATTGAAAGAAAACGGAGAGATTGACACTGGACTGACACAAAGAGCCAGCCCAAGAGTCTGTGTGCTGAACAGGAGCCTCAAACCACTCAGGTAACCAACTCAGGAGGTGCACACACGGCCTTTGAGACCCACTGCTGCTGCAGAAGCACACTGCAGCTCCTGCCGGAGGCTGGGCCAGGAAGGGACAGAAGGAATGGATCCCTGTGTCAGTGTCTCAGACTTGTCTGGTTCTGTGGCTTTCCTGTTCAGATGTGCTCCCACTGCCCCCAGCCCTGCATCGCTGCCAAGAGGAATTGGACTGTCTGTGGTCCTGCACAGTGAGGAGTTTATCGGAGCACTCTTGGGAGCTGAGGAGAGGTGATTTGGACATGCTTTTGTTTTCTAGTCAGGCATCAACAATAAAGCTGAGGACTCAAGGCTCAAAAGCAGGAGGAAATGAAAGGCAGAGCGAGTCACCGCAGCATGGGTATCAGTTTACAAAACAGGATTTACCAGCTTTCAGGCTTTTTGAATTCCCCTGGTTTTGCTGTCTGTGGAGAGGGGATGAAGACACCTCGTTGTGCTGCACTGGTGGGGCACCTTCCCAAAAGGGCACTGCACAACTTTGGAACAAGCAGTGGAGGTGGGAGCAGGCTGAGGCTGTGCTTCCCCCTCCTGGCCCTGCTGTGGGGAGCTGAGGGGCACTACTCCCACCTCGGGAAGCCCAGCAGGGCCTTTGGTGGCTCTTTGCCACTGTCACCCCTGCATCAATGACTGCTCGCACCTCAGGCTTTGCCAGGTTCCTCTCCTTGAGGACAACGGCCTGAGGCCTGGCACTATCCAGCCAAACAGGCTTTACCAGCACAGGAACTTCCCTCTGGAGTTCCATTTACCCTCGGACCATACAGCCCTGACAGTCCACGGCACACAGGGCTGTGGCTGCTCACCAGTGAGCCCTCTGGCCGGAAGAACGCAGGCGCTGCAGTGCTGGGTTCTGGGGTGCAGGGCCACCTCCTCCCTCGCCACTGCTGCGTCTGCCGGAGGCCGTGTGCAGGCTGAGACAGGACAGAACGGGTCCTCGGGGAGCAGGTATTTTCTCTTAATGTCCTTTGATGCACTGGGCGTCCTGTCGTGCCTTCTTGAACAGCTCATCCAGGATAGGATGCAAGGGCAAGGAGAGCTCTCCTGTTGCAGGAGAGCTTTTGATCCAGATACCAATCAATGGCACTCCCTACTGACTCCTGGAATGGAATTCCAGGAAATCCAACTAGTTTAGCCAATCTTTTCAAGAAAGAAAAGATGGGGAAAGATGGATTTTCTGATGTGGAAGTTTCACCCTCTTGTTCTGCTCTAAACTGGTAAGTAAGATCAGCCAAATCGTCCTCTCCAGGGGAATCACAGCTCCCAGAGAGCAGCGCCCAGGTGAGTCATGCCCCGCTGTTGGTGAGGGGACACTCGCAGGGTGACAACGGCTGTTCTGAGACCAGTGGCAGAGGCATCATTCCACTGGAGGTAACTGCTTCATCTGCTGGCAGGGACAGCCCCATCCCAACCATGTCCAGGCTGTGCCAGAGCTCACCAGAGGCTCTGCAGTCCTGGGGGTCTCTCTGGGCCCAAGGCAGCCTCAGCACCCAGGTGGGCTGGTGGACCTGTGCCCCGTGCAGTGACCCGATACCACAGACTTGTTTTCTCAGGCCTGGAACCCCCGTGAGCACTCCACACCCCAGGCACATGGAGCAGCCTCCTCCTCACCTTACCCACAGAAGGTGCAGGAGGTCCACTCCCGCCTTCAAGGACCGGTTGTAATGTATGTATAATTGTAATGTTTGCTGTGTCATCCCTCCTATCACTACACATAGTGAGGGGAAAGGTCTTCACCTGGGCCAGGTCTTTTCGACCCGTGGATGTGATTTTTAGCGTTACAATGAGGACAGTTCACTTCAGAACACCTTAAACATTTGTTCCTTTGCCAGGGTAGGGAACCCAGCGGTCACTTTACCAAGTGTCCAGTAACTCCTCCTTTAGCACAACCAACCCTGCCTGTTCTGTTGCTCCCTCAAACATAACTAAGCTCCAGTTATGCCCTTGAGTTCCTGATTGCTTCAGGAGGGTCACTTCATCCCAAGCCCCAGGGCAGGCCCCGTGTGGCTGTGACTCCCGCTGCCGCGCACAGCGCGGCACTGGAGGGGTCAGGAGGACAGGGTCCAGCTTTACAGAAGCAGCTGCTGGGCCCCGGTCAGGGCTGCGCTGCGGCGGGTACCGCGGCTCCAGAGGTGCTGACACCGGGTCCCGGGGCGGGCCCGCGGCCGGGTACCCGCAGGCTCCGCTCCGAACGGACCGAGCGGCAGCACCCGGCGCGCCCTGCGGCCGCTTCCGGCCACCAGCGAGAACTACAGCTCCCGGCAGGCACAGCGCATGCGCCGAGGGCCGAACGGAAGTGGGCCGGGCAAGCCCCGAAAGCACCACCCCTTCTGCGCGGCCGCCATTTTGTCACCGACTTTCACCCGCCGCCCGACGGGGCGTTTTTTTTTTCTTAAAGGAGATTGGGCGCGGCTGAGGCGCGCGGGGGGGTTTGGCGGGTGGTGGGGCAACGCGGAGCAGCCGCCGCCGCCGCGGTCCCGCCGGTCACCGTCCCGATGCCGGCGGGCGCCGAGCAGCCGCGGGGCGCCGAGCAGCGCCCGTCCGCGCAGGGCCCGCCCGCGCAGGGCCCGCCGCCCGCCGCCGAGAAGCCGCCGTCCTCAGGCCGCCGCCGTGCGCCGGCGCCCGCCGCCGAGCAGGGGGAGGAGTCCGGCGGTAGCCGGGTGCTGAGGGGCGGCCGGGAGCGGGGCCGGGCAGCCGCCGCCGCCGCTTCGGCCCCTGGGGGAGCCGCCGCTGCTTCCCGCCGCCGTAAGGCCGAGTATCCCCGGCGCCGGCGGAGCAGCCCCGGGGCCCGACCCGCCTCCGAGCAACCCGCCGCTGAGACGCTGTCCGCGGCCAAGAAGTCCTCCCGGGCTGGGTGAGTGCCCTACGGCAGGGGGGCCGGGGGGTGGGGTAGGGGCTGGCGGGCGCTCTGTACCCTGTCCCGCTCGAGTGGCGCCCGGGACCCGCCCTTAGCCGCGGGCCGCCCCGCTCCTCCGCCTCTTTGTTCTGGACTGGCCCCGCAGGTCCCGAGCGCTGCGGGCCGTGCCCGTCCTCCCTGTTGCCGCAGACGGGTCCTTGGTTGTGAGCGGGGCCGTGAATGCCGTCTGCGCGAACGCCCGGGTGCTCCCCGGCCCCGGCTCTTTTCGGCTCCGCGGCCAGGTGAAGGCTCGGTGAAGGAGGCAGTGGGATGTGTTTCCCGAGAGGCGATGCCGGCACCTCTCTGTCGCCTTACATCGGGAATGGGAAAACGGCCACGTGTGCACTTGGAGCGCTCGGAGCTGATGTTCCTTGTTCTCACGAAAGAGTCTATGCGCTTTAGAAACAGCGGTTATGGGCAAGACTGGGCTTCTGCTGATACGTTATTATAGTTCACCCAACCTTCCTCTGTGTGAAATAATCCCCGTTGGTGTGAGGGGCTCAAACCTGCAGTGCAAGAACAAGGTGGTGGGTCTGTCCACAGCTGGGAATTAGAGTCATTGTGTTCATTTGGTTTCTGCTGCCGTGCTGTGGGAGCTGTCTCTTATTCTTGTTTTTGTGCTTTTTCAGGTGCACGGATAAAGCAGCTGGTAAAGGTAAGAGCTGAATTACTGCAGCTGTTGTATTCCACTCAGAAGGTCAGGGACCTTCCCATGAAGATAGCCAAACATCTGTTGGATCTTCCTTTAAAGCATGGTTTGTTGCTTGATGGCATGCCGCTTCTTTCCAAGGTCTCCCTCAAGACTGTGGATCTGGGATAAGCTGCTGATGCTGTTTGCACGTGCCCAACGTGCAAAAACTTAGTATTCCAGATAAGCACTGGGGCATTGCTCCACCAGCAGAAGGTGGAACCATGCTGCACGCAGTGTGACTGCTCTGGTTCCACAGTGGCCTTGCATTGCTGGCATACCCTGGGCTTGCATGCGTTCTGCTGCTGTCGCAAACACAGCTGTAGGGCCTCGAGAGATGTGGGAATAGGAATGTTCAAGTATTTACACTTGTACTTTTCCTGCTTTAGTGGATGGTGAATTTTTTACGCTTGTGTCTTCATGGGATGAAAGAAAAGTTTTGAAGGGGGCAGGACAGCTTAATGGATCTAATCAAGAAGGTCGCAGCTGTGGGGAGCTGTGATCAGGAGCAGAACTTCTGTTCTTCCAGAGTGAGCTATGAACTCTGCATTGATTGAACAGCTTCTTGTACAAAAAGAAAAAAGGAGGGTTTTGCTCTTCACCCAGTGATGGCTTCTGGAACAGTTCCAAGTAAAAGGCTCTGTGTGGTGTTGGTTTTGACCTGGCACTAGAGAATGGTCACAGAAATGGTGAGGAGTGAAGGCTGTACACCTATGAAAATGAATCCACCTTTCTGCTGGAGCTGTTTGGTTCTTCTTTGCAGGCATTTGTGTCTTGAAGGCTGCCTTTATTCTTGTAATCCTGTAACTCTTTATCTTTATTCCTACAAATCTATAGCTTGCTTCCATTTGGGTGTCAAATGTATCACAGTCGTAGCTGGCAAAGTGTATTTTTGCAGACCACAGCAGAATTAACCAGTGTAGTTTTAGCAGGCACCGATTTGTGTGCATTTACCTCTTGCTGCATGAAAGGTGGGGAGTGTATTATAAGAGCTTCAGCCTTCTTCTAGCTCAAAGCAAAGTTTCTGAAACGTGTGAAAAAGTGTGGGGTTGTCACCTAATACGTGCCTACTGTTAACATTGTGTTTTAATGGGAATTCTCAGTTGCTTTGGATATCCTTAAGCTAAAATGTTTATGTGGTGGTGGTGACAGGAAACAGGCAGAACAGTCCCATATTTAGCCTAGTTCCTTGGGATGTGCTTGGAAGTGGCACATGTCAGTCTGAAATTTCCCAGGTTTGGTGCTGCTCTGTGCTCGAGCCATTACAGACTTCAACTTTGGGCGCTGAAAGATTCGGCTGCCTCTGAATGTGAGAGTGGAGAAAGTGTTGGTTAAATTTCTTGTGCTCTTTTTTTATGATGAGACTTGCAGCCAGGATGGATGGAACGAATGTTTGTGAGGAAGTTGGCATGGAGAAGCGGTGGTTACTTGTATCATAGAGTCACAGAGTGCTTTGGGTACCTTAAAGCTCATTCAGTCCTAACCCCCTGCCACGTGCAGGGACCCCTTCCACTAGAGCAGCTTGCTCCAAGCCCCTGTGTCCAACCTGGCCTTGAACACTGCCAGGGATGGGGCATTTACCACCTCTCCAGGCTACCTGATTTCACCACTCTCATTATAAAAAATTTCTTCTTTTTATCTAGTTTGAATCTCCCTTTGGGCAGGTTAAAGCTATTCCCCTTGGCCTGTCCCTACAGGCCCTTTCCTGAAGCCCCTTCAGGCACTGGAGCTGCTCTCAGGTCTCCCCTTCAGGAGCCTTCTCTTCTCCAGGCTGCCCCAGCCCAGCTCTCTCAGCCTGGCTCCAGAGCAGAGCTGCTCCAGCCCTCGCAGCAGCTCCGTGGCCTCCTCTGGACTCACTCCAGCAGCTCCCTCTTGTGCTGTTGCCCCAGAGCTGGGTCAGAACTGCAGGGGGGGATCCCCAGAGCACAGCAGAGGGGTAAGATCCCTTCCCTGACTTGTTGTAGTCCAAAGGAAATCTGCCTTGGTGCTTTTTTTTGTTGTTTTTCAGTCTGTGAAAGGGCAGGAGTGAGAACGCTGCGGGTCTGTGCCCAGCTCTGCACAGGATGAAGTTCTTGCTGCACCTTGTGCTTATTGGGGAAGACCCGGAAAGCGGCTGAATAAAGAGTCATCCTTGGGCAGGTCATGAGGCAGGAGAGGAGCTCCCCTCCCGCTCCCTCCTTTTTGGCCTTCAGCATAAAATGTTTGAAGAAGCCTAATCAGGTGTAAGCAAACTGCAGTTTCCTCGCGTGGCAGGGCTTTGTAGCTGGGAGCCCTCTCATTCTGGAGGATAAAATACCCTTGGACGTTTCACCCCTGACTGGAGCTGCCTTGGAAGAAATCCATTAAATCTGTTGAGTGGTTCTGCTGAAGGCTTTGAATTTAGTGCTGGTGTTTGCTGGCACGAGTACTGTTGTTCTCTGCTATAAAATACTACAGTTAGAACATGAAATTGGCATGAGCTCAGCCATAGCGGTTAGCCTCTGTATGTAAGGCACATGGCCTGTGGAACAAGGTGACATATCCTGTGGATCTATCCAACTAATGACAAAGTTGCTGCATCAGAGTTTGTTCACTAAGTTTTGTTGCCTTATGCTTGCGGTTATATTTTGAAATAGTTGTTGGGAAAGAAAGCTTAGAGGTGTTGGGTGCCTTCGATCATAACTGAGATGCTGCAACAATGGAAGTGTCTTGCTAAGTTTTATGTTCTTCTGTGTAGTGCCATGGGTTTTTCTGCCCATTGACTTGGGAGCCCAGGCACAAAGGTATGGCTGTGCAGGTCTGATAGGAAGACTACAGGAAGGTTAAAGTCGAAGGTATGTGTCGTGTCAGAGTTCGTGCGTGCTTGTGACCGTGCTGGTGTTCATGAAGGCAGTTGCAAAGTCAGCTCTACCAGCTGCATTTCCCATCTCGTCTGCTTAGTCACGCAATTGCTGTATCTCCTGGTGTGTTTCTGTAGCAATATTAGTTACATAAGTAGAACATTTAATCTCAGTTTATAAATGAATTCATGCAGTTGGAGCCAGACTGTGCAGTGTCATTCACGTTCGACTTCCCACGATGCTGTATGTTCTTGTGGAAATAATTTTAATTTTAGTTAGGCCTGACTAACTTTAATTATTGGAATATAGATTTAATAAACACAGATCATGTCCTTCCATCGCTCCATTGAAAATTCAGTGCTTACTGTGGCTCTTAAAATCATGTTGGCAACCAAACAAAACCTGCTTCTCTGATTCAGTTTGACACCCAAACCAGTTTCTGACTATCCACCTTTCTGTAAGATTTTTATCTGCTGTTTAGGAACCACTTTGAAGAGTCTGATTGAAATCTTTCAGTTGGTCACAATTCAAACCAGGTTGTGTGGTGGTTCTGCAGAAAGTGCTGGAGTAGCGGCTGGATACATGAAGCCTTGATTTACTTACAGCTGTTACCGAGAGATGTAGTGCCATGTGCCTGGAGTCACCTCCTTGGGAATCTGTTCCCAAATCAAGGGGTTCTGCCCAGCAGTGTGGGCTGGAGGGTGATGCCAGCAGTGCTGACATGCTCCTGCAGTGTATGGTTGTAGAAAGCATGTGTTGGAAATGCAGTTGGGTGGAGAACTTGTGTTGGATGCTCACATGTGGAGAACTGTCTTGGGGATTTGTTCTGTGATTTCCTCCCCAGTCTTTTCCATATGAGGCCACTGTAATGCACTATATGGGTGGCTGGCCTATCAACCACCCTCCCATCACAGTGAATTTCCAGCTGTGGTTTGGAGGCCCAGAGAAGGTCAGAGACATTTCTTCAAGGGCTGTGCAGGGATATGAGTGGGGAATACAAGTTTGCTCTGTAGAAGTCCACTTTTAACTTTTTAAGTTTCTCTCTTTAAGAGAAACAGTAAGATTCCGCGGGCTAAAAGAAGACTGGTTGTGTAGCACAGGTAACTCATGTTACACCTCGTTGTTTGTGTTCTTAAAGGTTTCTGCTGCTTTGGTGATGACTGCTTTGCCTTAAGACTTTGTCAGTGTTTTGAGAGAAATGTCATTACTTAAAACCAAACCTCATAAAGACAGGTGAATTTAAATAACTGAGTGCCCAAACCTCCTTTGACTTCTACAAGGATTTTCCTGGCTCCCGTGTGTACAATTTCACAGCTCTTTGGTCGGGGGGGAGCTGTTTGGATAGAGGTTTTCACTAAGATTTTTCTTCCTGAGTTTTATTCTCATCTGTGCTGTTACGGAAGTATGTGTTTAGTGCCTGATCTGTTGTGTAGTTACTATGGTAAAACTCGCAGTCAGAGATGTCTATATGTTGTTGTGATTTCTGGTTTTCACAGTAGTTGTTTTGTAGCTTAATAATTCACAGTTGATTTTCCTTTTACTTAACTGTACATAGGTATTTTCTGAAGGTGTCTACCAAGGACAGCAGTGACTCCCAGCAGCTGCTGACTTTGCACAGTGGCATCTGCATCAGTGTTCCTTCTGCACACCCTTGCTGCAGGGAATCCTGCTTACATTTCCCAAAGTCCAGGGCAACACTGCCACTGCATCTGCAGGGGACGAGGGGAGCAGGGCTAGGAGAGTGGTGGCAGACACAGCAGGATCCTGTAATGAAGGAAGTCCTACTGCTTCTTCAGGAAGTAAATGCAGTTGGTTTGGACTTTCCTTTTCTGCTCCTTGCAGTGAGTAATTGATAATGGGCCTGTGACTTGTGCTCTTTCAGTGCTTGGGAAGAAGGCTGGGGAGGTGCTGGCTGTGGGATATGTGTATTTACTGCTCAGGTCCTTGTCAGCTCGCTGTCAGTTACTCGGATGCACTCAGCACTTCCTGCAACCAGTGGTGTAAGGAAGCAGCAGTATGCACCCTGTCCTTGGACCAGTCTCCTATAGAGAGGATGCTGTGGGGCTAGGGAGTGACATGAAGCAACAAAGTGTGATCAAGTGCAAGTGCCACTTGCTGTGGCTTCCCGTGAGGATCCTTCCTGGAAAG